ACTTTTGCTGACACCAGGACTGACATGACAATGCTTTATGGATTTGTCTATAGATAAGAGATGGGATATGGAAAGAAGAGATCATTTGCTGTATTTTAAGAGGAGGCGAAAAGTTACTAAAATTGTTTATACTTGTTGTGATAAAGGTTGGAAGTCTCTCTCTCTCTCTCACGCACACACACAGAGACCCATATATATATTCTTTTTTTTACTATATTCGTACTTTCCCTTTTTCTTTCTATTCTTTACATTTTTCCTTTTTTCCCCCTTTGCACCTTTTACCCTTTCTATTTTTCTATCTTTCTTTTAGTTTGTATTAGTTTTTACTATTGTAATTATAATCTTTAATAAAATTACTTGGAAAAAAAGTATTGCTTAGACAGTAAATAACCAAGCCTTATTATTAATGCTTATGTTTCTGTTTTCTAGGGGGAAAAAAGGAAAAATGTAAAGAATAGAAAGAAAAAGGGAAAGTACGAATATAGTAAAATCTTTCTTTTAGTTTGTATTAGTTTTTACTATTGTAATTATAATCTTTAATAAAATTACTTGGAAAAAAAGTATTGCTTAGCCTGCATTTTTAGTTTTTTGGCTTGATTACAGAGGTACAATGATGAATGCTAAACAGCTTAGAAAACAGAAACATAAGCATTAATAATAAGGCTTGGTTATTTACTGTGGGTAGGATATAATATACTTTTATGGTAAGTTAGTGCACACTAAATTCAGACAATCCAAAAATGTTCTAGCATAGAAAACCTCCCAATCTTCCTCAACACATTCTTGTTTTATCAGTAAAAGTTCAGTCATTTTAACAGGACTCCCTCTTTCTAGTAAACAACTACATTATGAATTTTGATTAAACTTATGCTGTAGAGTATTCTTTTCCAAAATAAAAATCAAACATAACACCTCTATCATCCAGCATGAAATCCTCCCATGGTAACCCCTGCCTAAATACGTAGCTTCCAGATGATTTGGAATGAGGATCCTGGAAACTGCCCTCAACATATCTAGAGAGTGGAAGGTTGGGGAAGCTTGTCATAGATTTTGATCATTTGGTTGGTTTCTTCAGAAGAAGGTCATCTATGGACAATGAACCAGCCCTCCCCAACATGGTGCTCTCCATGTGGGCTGAATGTTCAGAGCAGGGAATTATGGGAGCTAAAAATTACTAGACAGTGATTGGTATAATATAAGCTACAGTTGTTCTATGGTGCTTGGGAAATTATCCTTGTACAGTTATATTGTTGTGCTTAGTTTTTAATCTTATTACTGTTTCAGAGATCTGTAAGACACTCCAACATGACTGGAGTGGCATATAAGCCTAATAAAATAATAGATAAACAAACAAATAAATAAAATCCCAATATACTTAGAAATTAGAACTGGATATTACATATCCCTAAAAGATATGAGACCTAATCGAAATCATTCTGTTTTGGAACCTTCCTAATGTAGATGTGTTGGACTTAAAAAAATAGAATTTCCTCCTAGTCTTTCTGACAAATAAGATCATCTATTTGTAATACTCTGAACAATTAATATGGAAACCAGCAGAGAGAGCAACCACTAAAACAAGTGTTGTTAGCAGATGCTGGCACAGGAGCAGCATAATTCTTAGAAATAAATTTGCTACTTTAGCTTTGCCAACAATTCAATAGTCAGCTAAGTGCCATATGAAAGAGAATGAAAGCCATAACTTTACAGCTTGTTCCACCATTGTAAATCTTTCAAAGCAGTAGAATCATTTCTCTCAGGAACAATGTTTAACTACTTCTACATCTGTACTTTACTATGTTAATGAATGGACTATTAACCTTGATGCTTCCTGAAAAATCAGAAGAAAGTTTACATAATGCATTCTTAATATATTTTCTGTAAGGTTTAATAGGAGTTCTATAAATAACCCCATTGAAACAGAGTGTGTGATAGTCATATAAATATTAAAAACTTAAATGTTGCAAAATTCTGAACTCTTCTCTTTTGCAATATTCCATCTAACATCATTTCCATTACCCAGCAGTGAATTGCTCAAGATGCTTCGTAAAAGCATTAGAGGAGAGTTTGCTCAGGCTGTTATCTAAGTGAAATAGAAACACCTTCCATGGAGAAATTCCTCTTTAAAATCAGGGCAGAACTAAATAGTTTCCTTTTCTTCTTCTTTCCAATAAATGCCTAGATGTTCCTTTCAGTTTTTAGCTAGGACACAGTGAACAGAGGAATGTGAAGAGCAAATGAATGATAGAGCAGATACCATTCCCAAGCCATCGATGATTTCAATACCTTCAATTAATGTGTGTACATGACACCTGCTCTATGATGCTCCTTCCTTTCAGCTGTGTTGTTTTACCACACTGAAGGTCTGCTAACAGCCAATGAGCTAAGGGGTAGTGGAATGTCCAGTATTGTAATATTACCTCAGGTATAGCAACTAATTTGGTTGGGACATGATGCTAAACAACCTATGTTTAAAATTCTGGCTTATCAAGAATAAGCAAGTATGCCAGTTCATGCTGATCAATTGACCCCCCTTGGGTCTTCCTAATAACAAACTAAGAAGCCTCTATCTATGGTTGGTTTAGCATTATAGCTACATTGGGATGCTCCCCACTTACAGAGCCAGACTTATAAACCACAATTTCTTCTTGGCTTATGATTCCAGTTTATTAGCAAATAGCAAGCCATGTCTTTGGAAAGATGAAGGCTAGTTCAACTGCTCACAGAGGAGCCACATGGAAGCCAACCGGTACTTGCATATGCTTCTTCTCTGGTCTTTATAGGCTAAAATTCTGAAGAATTGTGGCTTGGCATGAGATCTGAACAGGGCCATTGTGTTGTACCAGAAGTTAAGGTTTGGCAATCTAGTGATCTGGGAATAAGTTGGTAGAGATTGTAAAGAATGACCATCTTTACATTCATCTTTTTTATTGTCCACTTTTACTAAAATTGAATATAAATGCTCACTCACTAGAAGATGAACACATTATCTCTCAAAACCAAGATTATTTGTGTATCACTAAAGTAATATAGAACAACTTCTACCAACTTATTCACATTCCCATGGGAAAACACATCTTATTCAAAATAACAAAATGTAGATGGGCTGCATTCTCACACAGGCATGTACTTGGATTGACCTATAAAATGTATGAGAATTATGTTCGGAATCCAAAACTTGGTAATCCTATTTATACACTTTTTAAATTGCTAATCGCTAGTTAGATTAGGAACAAAAGCACAGCCTCTATCTTTACAGTGCCTGCTAATCCAAACTATGTAGTGTAAATATCTGTTTAAAACGACAAGTAAGTGTTCAGATGAAAAATACCATAAATGCTTAAGTCCAAAGTTTTTGTGAGCAGAAAATACTCATTTTTCTATCCTTCTGCAACAACCCAACATTTCTAAAAGTTTTATTAGAAACTTTTAAAACATTTAAAAACATTTCTACAGGTTTTATTGCTCTTTAGATTAGAATTAGCAAATGGCATTTTCTTCAGTAATGGCCTGCATATATTTTTAAATAACTGAAAAACAATTTATATAAACATCAATTTATATAAGTTCAATGATGTCTTATTTCTCTTATGTTTAGTAACATAACATAAACATTAAAAAATGTTTATCCCCTTCAAAATTTATTTTGTAATTGGGTGGCATCCTTATTTACATGATTTTTAAAATTAAGTATCTTAATATTGCTAATTTCATCATTTCACTATGTAATTTCTAAATTGATAACATTCTAAAAAGTATGGCTATAAAGCAGCCCTGACCGAAAAAGGCAATAGGAAGGGGAAAATGCTAAGACAAAGTCATCTGAAGCAAGGCAATGTTGCTTTAGCAGAAGAGTATTTAATAGTAGTGAAAGCTCAGAGAGACACACTTACATTGGCTGGGAACATTCCTGGACATTGCACACTCTACGAATGGGTTTGGGCTTTGAGATGGACTCACAGTAACTGCGATGAATCATCTTAAGGTCATTCTTCCTCCGGCAACCATATTTTGTAAATTGATGGCCTTAAGGAAAAAAAAACACCTTACTTTATCTTCAACATTTCAAAGAACTTTCACATAATTCAAATATTTTTGTTCTCCCCCTACTGAAAATATCCTGGCCACTATTTTGTGACTCCCTTGCACCAGTTAAACAGAAATAAAAGGATAATTCTCTACTTGCATGGAGGCCTGGTTAAGATGTTTGTCCATCTCTCAGTAATCCAGGGAAGCATGTAGAGTTGTTGTTAGCTTATAAATTAGCTTCGGTTATATAAAAGTAAAGTAAAATCTCTTCTGAGTCAAGCTCAGCTCTTGATAATTTACAGATAGACAAATTCCTGTCATTTGGTATTGCCTTCTTCCATCGAGTTTTTTTGACTTCTCAATGTAGTCAACTGCCTTGGGCTTCCTAGAAGGTCTTCTTCTACCAAACCAGAACTGGCTTTGCTTAGCTTTCTAGACCAGGCTACAACAGGTTTCAGTTATATGGAAGAATCAATTCACTTGGGCTGTCAGATCCATGTTGCAAAAATCTGGACAATCACAAAATGGTGAAAATGGCAGCCTTCCCGCCATCGCCTGGTCAAATCTTACACTTGGCTGATCTCAAAAAACTAACAAAGATTTAACCGTCAGGGAATCCCAGGGCTGTAGGCAAGACTGAGAAGCAGAAGAATCATGTGGGAAGAAGGCAATGACAATTCATATACTTGCTAAGAAAACAATTTGGATTTGTCTGTGCAGTTACCAAAGTCAAGCTTTGCTTAAGGGATTTTACCTTTACTTTTTACAGTAACGTAAATTCTGTCTGATCTACTGATTCATAAACCCAGTAAACCCATCTGTGTTTGTATTCATAATATTAAATTCTGTGAGTGCCTGAATTGTCATGCTGACATATATTTGTGGTCTTCCAGTAATGTATATATTTATTTCATTCATGTCATATGGAGAATGATGTTGAGAATGCTTTTGCCAACCAGGAGAACACATACATTCAAAATAAACATATCCTTGTGCAGACTATAGACTTAGAATCTATATTTTCAGATGAATGATGGTTTTTGTCATGCAGACCAAGAGACATCATGGCCTCTCCCTCTATTCTGGAGATAGAAATTGAGTCCTCTGAAACAGACAAACACAGAGCTAGAGGAAGAAATAGAGGAAGGATCTGTGAACTGAGTTTGGAAAACCTTTGATTAAGTTTGAATTGACCATGAATCTGAGGAATGTCCAGGCAGTAGGGACAAAGGGAACATTTGTTTCAAGGGAAATCTAGTTGAGAAGAAATACGCAACAGGTTTAGACCAGAATTTGCACTAAGATTAATTTCTTTTTCTGTGTTACAACAGTTGCCTATTTTTAAATTTCTTTTATTCAAGTAATTGTGGGTACTTCAGCCTTTTATACATTCCTCATGTTGTACATCGGGAAATAACCTATTTTTAAAAACTTTTCTGATCTGTAATAATTAATCCAAATCTTTTGCCGAGAATTTTTCTAAATATCCTGGCAGAACACTCATTTGTAGCAAATCGGTGGCATCTTGTGGTCTGCCAGGAGCACTACATCTTTTATAAATTTTCTTTTTTAAACAGTCTGCTGTTTTCCCATCATTTGAATAGCTCTATAACCATTTTCCTTCACTACTGAATGTTGGCATGTTTATATTTAAATTTAGAAAGTATTTGTATAGTTCACCTTCTCTCTCTCTCTCTCTCTCTTTAAAATAAAATTTTATTTTATTGATCTCTGGTCTATCTCCCAACAAGAGAACAGAAATCTCTAGTCATATCTTTCTAAGCTGGCATATGAACAAGGAGACAGCAATATGGAAATTATTTCAACTTCTGTATTTTTCACTATGCAATCACAGTCAGGCAGCACAGGATCTGAAAGCCCTATCTCTCTGACACACCGGGGTTAAGGGGAGGACACCAGATAAGTACCCCCTGGAAGATAGGTGGTGGCAGCAATAACTATCAAGCCTATACCAAAAACCAGGAGGCGGTGGTCAGGTGTGAATACTCAGAATACTTCTGGGAGATGAGGTTTAAGACCTCCAGCCTTCCCTCCTACAACTTAGCAATTCTGCTACAGGTATATAGTTAAGGACAGCAAGCGTGGTGAATATTTGAGATTGATTCCAAATTTCAGAGCAAGTAGAATTCTGGAAGCTGAGAAATGAGTTAATATGTGTTGCAATTTTGCATGTTTCTCTAAAAACAAACAACCTGCATATTACCAGTTAAGTATTGGTTCAGTCTAGTATAGATGTGGAGTGCAAGTTACATTCTCCAGTGAAAATTTTATACCACAGCATTTTGTCTCCTCTCATTCATTTATTTCATCCTGGTTACTCTTTTGTCTACTATTCCATTTTCTAGATGTGCAGTATGTTGTGAATAATAGACAGCAATACATAATTTCCATGGAATGTATTTTTCTATCTATGATTTTTCATGTTATTCAAATTTTTCCCTATTAAAATGTAACTGAAGATGTTAACATCTAGTGATTCTTAAGAAATCATTTCACTTTGGATAGACTCACAAATACTGATTGATGATTGTTTGGAAAATCAAATGTGCTGCACTGAGTGAATGAACTACCACAGATAAAAAATTACAGGTAAGCCTGTTCTATCGTTTCAAATTCATGGATTCCTGCCTCATATTCAGCTATAAGTCATTAAGCACATTTAAGAACATAATTAGAAGCACAGTTTTTCATAACAGTCAGAAAAGTCAATGCAGTCATCAGCATCTTTACCTCCTCCACAAGGTTTTGAGCACTGTGACCATTTTTTCAGAGCCCATTCATATGGTATAGAATCTTTCAAGACATTGTTATCATCGACATTTAAAGAATCTTCATGGATCATAAATTTGTATGTCAATGAAATCTTCCCATTACCATGAGGAATTACCTAGTTAGACAAATAATGTATATATTTTCAGGGAGATCATTTTTAACATCACTTTAAAATCACTTTAAAACCAGATTTCAACCAAGATAACAGGACTGTGGCTTCTGCGATTCTCCAGCCTTGTTCCAGGCCCAGGGTCCTGACAGTCTCTTCATTTCTCCTCTGTCACTCTGCCAACCACATTCCCCCACATGACCCCCAGTCTTGTTTTCTGAAAAAAAGGGGAATCCATATCCCTGGAGCTTTCAGGAACAAAAGAGGCAACATATATAGTTGGGGAGCACAAATTAGATTTGGCTTTCAGCCTTAAAACGGATTCCTTAACAGATACAATTTATCAAATATGGGGTTCACGACTCACTGTGGCATAGGCACACTCATCTTTAAGTAACTTACCAGAATGGTGATGCCGTGACGTAAAGGGCCCATCGTTTGCACCACTTCCCTGTCCTCATCATTCCGATACTCCCATTCTGCACCCATGTAGATGAAAGTTTTGGAGTCTGGCACATAGTTGTCTTCATTTAAAATAAATTTCCCTGTTTCTCTGTTCTTGATCGCTAAAACCAAAATGAGAAATATGAACTCAAGAGATGTCAGGAGGGTTCCCCCTCCCTTATCATTTTTAATTCTCTGGGGAGTGAAGAAACTAGAAGTCACAGAAGTGTCTGCTTGCTTTATTTATTTTACTTGGAGAACTGATCAAAAATATCACCAGAAAAGGGTAGTTTCTATAAACATTTTAGTACTAACAAAATACAATTTGCTTAAAAACTACCAAAATGTCATATCTAGTCACTATTCCCCCCCACAAAATAAAGAATTGGGAAGCCTTTGTTTCTTATCTAAGGCAAAACTGAGAGCCCTCTGGTCCTAAGGCTGGATCCAGGTTGCTAGAAGCTCCCATTCCATCCTACCACCATGACCATTCAACTATCCTCCTGTGTCAAATGCTATATTTTTATCTCTGGGCACTGGGGAAAGGGCTTCCCTCTCATTGCACAGAGTCCAAACCAGAGGGAAAGGCCATCCGCTTCCTGTATCAGAAACGGTTTGCATTCCTCCTTCTCTGCCGTGAGAAAAGAGCAGCTGTAGCTCCCGATGCCCTTCCCAGAGTTGTGGCAGAATGAGGGTTTATTTTTTCATTTGTCAGATATATAAGGCTGCCTAAGCATCAAACATCTCAAGGTAGTGTACTATGTGATGCTAAGTGTGGCAGATTATATCATAATTCACCACAGACAACAGTGCAAGGCTTGATGTGCTTTCTGGGAGCCTAATAGGGACATGGCAGATTCTCCTTGCCCTCCCAAGCTTCCTGCCATCCCCTTTGCCCTAATTGCTAGGGTAGTCTAAGGATGCTCCCCCCCCCCCCGAAAGCGTTATAATGCAGTGGTTCTTCCTAATTTACAAAACTATATAGGGGTCCAGGTAACAGTCTTTCATCTGTACGGAAAACCTATGGCTTTCTGCAGTCTTTATTGCTATTTTTATTGCTAAAATTCCATTAAAGATAAAATTTTATAGAGAAGAGTCAGAATGAGAGAGAGCAGAGCAAAATCTGTAAAGGGGCCTGGAGGCAGAGACTGATGTTGGAATTCCTCCCACCTCTCCCAAACTGTAGTGTAATAAGTTTCAGATTAGCTGCCATTCTTGGCTAATTGGCTGTAAATTGATTGCAGTTGTATGGGCCCAAGTCTGTAGGCTCCATTATTGGTTGATTTGATAAAGGAAAAAAGTTTCAAAGAGAGAAATCAGCAAATAGAATCAATGACCTAAGAGCACAGATGTTAAATATGACAAATCTTTCCTCCATGCCGGTGATTTTGATTGCACCAGGCCTCTTTCAAGATGAGGATTTTACACACTCCACTCTTTTCAAATACAATCTCAGCTGCAGTCTTTACATCTCCCTGCTTGTCACTGCTAAGTTTCCTGGCCCATTTCTACATTAAAACATGTAAGGAGTATTTTATCTTTATACATACATACATACATACATACATACATACATACATACATACATACATAAATTCAGACATGACAACCTCATACACTTACTGCCTTCCTTCCCCACTGCTTCAAGATTCATTTGTGAAGTGTTGTCAGCATCCATACGTTCATCAGATTTACAAAAGCAGAAGGTTTATCTTGCTCATGCTTTTTCAGAAACACTTTGCCTAACATAAGGAATATGTCTGTGCAATGAATATTATTAATCCCAGACAGTTGCACAGAACAGCAATTCACAAGAAGCATCTCTTAAAACAAAGCTTGGATGATTCATAGAAAAGTTACTAGGTCAATGGACATGAATCCGCTTCTAATTAATTACAGTCTACAACACAATGCCTCTTATTGATCCACTGAACTGTAAAGATTGAGAGCTTCAATTATTATTGAAACTTTGCTTGATTGACCATTCTTGCTACAGCTGGCTTAGAATTGGAAACAGGATGGACCAAGACAGTAGATGCTGGAGATGTTAGCAAAAGCACTTCTGGTGATTCTGATGCACAGGAAATGTGGGCTCTGCAGCAAACATGGAAATTGTTTGCAAAATTATATTGGGTAAAAATGGCATACAGTTTATCTGTTTGTTTATTAAATGTATATGCTGCCCAAGTCCAAGTGACTCTGAGCATTTGTTTTTTGAAAGCAAGGTTTATGAAAGTTAAACATATTATTTGAAAGAGCAGGTACCAAGTTACTTAGGGCTTAGTTCAAATTATGATCCAGATAGAATCTGTGAATTTTAAAATTTCTATACATTTGTGTAGAGGTTTTATTTCTATAAACTCCACTCTGCACAATAGAACTTATTTCACCACAGAAAAAAAAAATCTGGCTGGAAACACACACATTTCTAGATTTCATTGATTAAGAGAAAACAAGGTAAAATATTGCATGTTGGAGCTCTCCAAGCATGGGTTTGGGGCTGCAGACATATAGAAACAACTTCATTCCAGAACCAAACAAACTCAGAAAATTCCGGCAGTGAATGCAGCATGCCAACCCTGAGCTACATATATTTGCTCCTACTTTCCATGAGGCAAACTGTGTTGCCTGCTGCTTCTAAATGCATGGCAACGTCATAACTTTGGAGATGATCTAAAATATGATGGCAGAACATGTAAGACCTATCTTGTAAGATCCTATCCTGACTGGCACTATGGAGGACCTGATCACTCACAGCACATTACATTAGGCTAGATGGACCACTTGTCTGATTTAATATAGACAGTCTCATATGTTTATTTGAAGGGATCTTAATATGGCTTTCAGCCTTAAAAGTGATTAAGACTGCTTTGCCCAGCTTCTCTATCATTGTATTAATGCTATTTTACTCCTATAAAAAGGTTCTTGCCTCAATTAAAAACTCTTTTAAAACCAGAACAATATTTCAGCTAGTCAGGAAAAGCAAATCCACATGCAAAAGATGAATATATTTTGCTTATATGATGCAGTACGTACCAAGATTATGAACAGTGGCATCAGATTCTTGTACGAGCAAATGCCTTGCACCAGCTGGAATTTCAAACATCTTAAGATAACCTGTAAGGAAGCATTAAAACTAATAACAATTACTGTTGTAAGCAAAAGAAAAAAAGGCCAGGCCCTGAACTATTATTATTTGCCACAGCTACTATTTCATTTTGTATCATGGAAGGGCCATCTAAGGTTCCATGGACCTATCCAACTCCCCCCCGCCTTTTTTTTGCAGCTCCAGAACTGACTCAAACCACAACTGCCAAAGATCAGTGGCATAGTTTACTACCAGAAAACACATAAAAATAGCAATCTTAGCCCTAAGACTGGTTTCATATAGTTGTTTTTGTTTGCACCATCACTTTGTCCCCTGCAGCCTCAATCTTCCCCTCAAATGTTCCATGCAACCCATAGCCATGAAAAGATTGTCCAACTGTGCTTTAACCAGTGACTTCTAAGCTTATGACTTTTACCACTAAGAAATTCCTAACATACATCTTGAATCTCTTAATTTCAATCCATTGGTCTTGATTCTGCTTCCAGTGTCAACACTTCCAGATGACAGCTTTTTAGATATTTGTAGGCTGTTGACATATGCCCCCCCCCCAGTCTTTTCTTTGTCAGCTAAACACTGTAGCTCCTTCAACCAAAAGGTTCAGCTCTCTGGACCCTGATCATCCTGGAAGCTCTCCTCTGGACCCCCTTCAGTACAGCCTTACAGTACAGAGTATAATGGAACTATAAAACAATATGTAAATGGTATTTCATAAATATTTATTTTAGAGATTTTCAATTAATTAAATAGCCATTCTGACTTTGTTTCCTCTGATAATTTCCCCTCTTTGTAAAACGGGGCATACTGATGATGTAGAGAAACTGAACAAGAGAGTAAAAAGAGGGAGTACAAATGTATAACATACAATTCAATCCAACCCAATCATAAAGCTTTTGTAAAAATAAAATGAGAAAGCTCCAAGGAAAGAATAATAGAGGGAAATAAAGTAATAATTGTGAGTACTGGATTTGTTATTGGAGCTGACTGTGAACCAGATTCAAAAGGGAAAAGGTGATTCAGAGTGCATGTTGGTGCCCACATCACATTTGTTGGCAACTCTTCAAAGACAAGAAGGTGCCAAAACCTGTGGTGTGCACATCCCTGCATGCTCCCAATCAACTTTTCCTTTTTGAATCAAGATCACAGCAAAGCCTTAGTCAGTGTTTCTCAACCTTGGCAACTTGAAGATGTGTGGACTTCAATTCCCAGAATCCCCCAGCCAGCATGGGGAATTGGCTTTAGTCATTTCATCTATTTTAAGTGCTCACTATAATCTTTATTCCTGCACATGCAGGGTTGGATAGGGGAAGAAAGCTGATATTTTTCCTTTTAAAATGAAGATTTTTTATATATTGATCTTAGCTTATTTGTTCAATTCTGCCTTTTGGATGTTCTCCAACTTGAAGAACTTAGTTCTTTGACAAGATTCTTCACTATCCCTGGCAAACAGACATAATGTAAAATGGAAAGAGTTTGTAAGTCAGACAATAATCTATTCTAGTTTGGAATGGCCAACCAAGAAAGCTTCAAGTCTGCACCTATATAACACAGGCCACTCTGGTTTTAAGGATGAGGTATCAAGACAGGCAAGTACTTCAGCAGGTCAGTGGCAGCCTGAATGCAGTGCTTATCTGCTTCCTTCTAAGGCCTCTTTAGATGAATTGCAACAGTAGTCAGAATGGAAGGATAGCAGCCATAGGCAGGGCTGAACATTTCCATTTCCCCCAGTTTGGGGTGGGGATTTTTCCTTGCCTCACTTTAGGGTGATATTCAGGCAGGTGATTGTGGGAGTGGGGACAGTTTATAGAAGCTCCCCAAAAGGGTAAAAAATGCATATTGACTCTGGGGACACAAATAATAGTCCCTGCATTGAATTAAGGCTATTGTCTGAAACTCACTTCCCTTGGCATCAGATTCAAGGGGCTCTTTCTGAGTAGACTTACATAAGATTCTGTTTTATGGTTTGAATATACCAAGACATCATTGTGTGATAACATCTCAAACACACAAAATAAGGTTTTCTTTCTACACTTATTTTATTAAAAAAAAACATGTCTTCACCAGAGCAGCATTTGATGCAGCAAAAGAAATATGCTGTTAAAGAAATTCTTGAAGTCCTTCTGAAATTCAATGCATACTTTTCTGTAGCAAGGGTATTATATTTAAATAAGAACAACCTTGTTTCTTTGGTACCCTGGAGAATGTTCCTTTCACCACTTTGCAATGGGTATTATCTCCACCGCACACACCACATTTATCTTCTTGCTTTGATGAGCCTATTACTTTGTCACAGCCAACTTTCTGCAAACCAAGAAAAAAATCCATTATTTTTGCTTGTAAGAGTCTTACTTTTCTTTGAATGATCATTAAATCAGGATATTTAAACAGGGTATTAGGAACCAAGAAGAAAAGTCAGTTCCTGGAACAATATGTTGATAGTCCCACAGGGCCTTTACTTCAAGAACATATTACTCTTCAGAACTTGAGTTAAGGTAGATATTTGATTTTTTTTCACATCTACATATCTTTGACCTAGATTTTCATATCTACAATCCTTGAGAAAATAACACTAAAAACAACCATATACTTCTCTTTCTCTCTCTGTTTAAAGACATCATACTTCAGCAAGTCTATCCTCAAATTATATATCATGTAAATGAGCCCAACACAAGGTTTATTTGAAGTAGGTAGCTTGAAAACTGAATGGTAGGAATGTTTACTTCAGCATCATGAAGTTAGCCCTATATTATAACTGAATAAACAAAATCATATTCCAAACACATGCATTGTTCTAATATTGATTGCTGAAAACACTACACAAGTATATCTGGAATGGCTGTATCACACGGCAAGCACTGAAAAGCTGTCTTTATCTACATCAGGGTTACCCTTCTCAAGGTATAAGTAAAGCTTTGGGAATTGCCAGAGTGTGTAAGAAAATCATGTATGCAGGCTCATACAAAGTACCACTAACTGGACATGAACAATTCACTAAGTAACATGCTTTCTTTCTAAACACTGTCCACATGGAACATTCCAACATGCACCAGAAATTCCCACCTATTTTTAAAAGAAGAAACAAGTTTTAAAACAAGAGTTTAAGAAGTAATAGTCTAGTTGACTGGGTCTATGTGCTCATCTAGAGCATAGGTGCTTGTAGATAGCAGTCACTGTTTCCTTGAACAAAAACAAACTTAGAGGTATGCTCAAGAGCACTCCTAAACTAAGTAATACATTCACACCACAGCAGTGCATCTCTAACCACCTCATTTCATTTCCTGCTGTCTTACGTCTCTAACCTTCTCAACATTCTATAGTTGCTGAGCACAGCTAGTTCTCTTGGGACTCTTTGGGGAATTTTCTCTCCACTAAATGACCTTTTCTCCTTAAAAAACTATCGTACTTCTGCATATACCTTCCTTTTAAATAGCTATTTTCACATATAACCACCAGCTTCCAAGAATTAAGATCACGATTAGTATATATTATGATTTCAGGCAGTCGTGTACCTGAAACTGAAGAATATTCCAGCACTCCCAATAAAACAGCAAAGTACTACACAACTGATTTTTAATCAGCTTTCAATGCTGTTTATATTGTTTATAGAAACTTTATATAAATTAAACAGGGAAGGGAAGAAACTACCCCATTACAATTTTAATATTATACTTATTCTTACAGATAGGAAAATGGAAAAAGACATTCCTGAAATGGATGTAACCTACCAGGCACTCTCCTCTCATACAGATACTGTGCAAATCCTTATAGGAGCACCGTGTTCCATCATGCACCAGTCTTTTCATATACACAACATCATTAGTTTCCTTGGATTCACAGTACAGGTGGCACCTTTCTTTAGCTATAAGAGAAAATACTCTGGTAATTTATCTTCTCATTGGTTTATTTTGTAAATGCCAATTCAATGGAAGTCTTGTGGTGAGATCAAAAATTCTAAGCAGCTTGCCAAAAGGGAGAAATTTAGAACCACCTTCTAGAGATATGGACTATACTTAAAACCAAATGTTTAATAGGGGGTATTTGTAGTCTGTGTCAGCCTTCCCCACTTAATCCTCTTCAGGTGTAGCTTCTGTTCCAGAATTCCTAGTTGGCAGAGTCAAAAAGCCATGTTGGCTACAGATCTGGGAACTGAAATTCCAAAATGCCTGGGTGGCATGAAGTGAGAGGCGGCTGTTCTACCATCTTAATGGATCAACCATTAAAATGGATCAACCATTAAAATTCTATAAAAACATTTTATTTGCTTTTGCAATTGATCATGCATAGCATATACATTAATTCAGTAAAAGTACTATGGCCAAGCTGAGTGATGTAGCAGCCGAAGTAATTCCTACTAAGAACTGTATGCTCACCTGTCTGAAAAAGTAGCCGCCCCCAAAGAAACTAAAAGCACTGGACAGTGTGATCTGAGGGTTAATGCTAATGAATTGCAGTATTTCTGCACACAGGACATTTTAGCCTTCCACATTTGGCAGAGTGATACTGGTCTGCTTTATTAATAAGGAAATGAAAAAGATCAATTGTGCGAACCATCAATATGTTCATATGGGAGCCAGTGATGCTTCATGTTCTGATATTCAAAAACAGGATCCCACTGCCTGCACTGCTGCTCTCTGAAGTCTTCATCTTCAGGGCAATCTTCAACATTGCATAGCTGGAACTCATAGGTTGGCCCAAAACATGTGCGGCCTCCGTTAGCAGGGCTAGGAAAAAGAAGTAATAATGGTGAATGATAGATATTAGATCAATAATATAGTACACCATTGTATTTTATTGGAGCTGGAAAACTGGTGTCTCTCCAGATATTGGATTCAAACTCCCATGAACTTTACTAGGCAAAAATCGAGGATTTGAGGAACCATGTCCAACAATATTTGGAATTCCAGAGTTTCTCTATCCCTGTGTTCAATCCCAAGATTAATTTACAATGATTTCCTATAGCTATAAGCTACATTTAGACTACATCATATATGAGAGGTAGGCAAGGCACAATTGCATACTTTTAGTCTCAAGATCTGCACTATGGAAATATTAATCATGACCTAACAGGCTGTATGGATAAATAAATATGAAGCACTGAACATGCACTATATAAATGCTGAAATAGTTGTGGGTGAGATACAGTATAGGTTTTATGCTTAGGAAAGAAATCCTACAAGCAAACCTGGGAGAGAAGATTGTCCTTTCCCTTCTGCGGCCTTTACAAAACCTTAGAAGTCATATTGGAAAGCTGAGGAATAGTCAGATGTGACTTTTTAGTGGGAATGGGGGGATCAAACAGGAGAGGAGAGGAAAAGGTTCTTTATTTCTTAAATGTATACCCATTGCAATCAACTCAACTCATGGCAGTTCTCAGCAGATAAGAGAGATCTCTGCTCAATTAAGTATTGCTGGATTTCATTCATAATCATCCTGTAGGATAGAAGAAATACCCTAATACATGCACACATCAAAACCTTTAATACAGTACTAGAAGCAATCATGATATCTCCCCAACAGGTTAAGTACTCAGTCCAATATTTTCTATTTTATTGCTTGACTAATTTAATTTCCTAAATCTTACTGTAATTTATCAAGGTGATTATACATCAAATATTTATCATTACTTTTTTACTTACATCTACATTTTCTCATGTTGCTTTTTGCAATGATTTTAGATTTTGTTTTATAATATGTTACTTTATATGAAGAATTCATAATAAGGATTAAAAAAAAATAGCACCAGAAGTGGTATGGATTTCTTTTAAGCTCCTGAATGCTCAAGAAGTGATTTGGCTGTCTGGCAAAAATAAACCTCTCTTATATCATCCTTGGCTTCAATAGTAATCACAAAACATGATGCTTATAAAATGATTTCATGATTTTATAGCTAGAATAGATTATAGCTTTGTGATCAGATTTGGGACTGAGAAATCACTTGTGAGCATCACTTTGTTCCTTCCACTGAAATCAATGGAACGGCCTTGAGAAAGCATGAAATAAGTGTGAATTTAAATTCACACTTATTTCACCAATGTTCACCAGTCTTGAAGTTAGTAGGGCAAACATTTTAGTGGGAATAAAGAGTTCTTAATCTTTTCATTATTTCAGCCAAAAGCCACAACAAGTTTTCACATATAAGTTTCTTATATTAGAACAGGAAGTCTCACACATAGACAAAATCCAGTAAGTCTTTTTTGGACAACTTGCATCTTAAACTCTTCTGCAATTTATACATTTGGATGCAGAATGTGTATTAGAAAAAAAGACAGTGACCAGGCGAAAGTACACTAGGGGTATCTTTGATCATAGCCAATATTTATTTATAAAATGTATTACATTACTATTACTTGCATTTCATGGTATGTATAATTCCCAAGCAAGATGCAAAATAGATTAAAATCCACTAAATTATAACTTCCTTCAATTATGTACAGGTAGTTTAAGAATGAGTTCTGTTCCCAAGGTCTGTCCTTAAGTCGAATTTGTATGTATGCCAGAACAGCATTATTGTATAATACTGTATAAGTAGTATTGTGCAATTAACTCGAACCATTGTGTATTTAACTCAAATCATTGTGTATTTAACTCGTTGTTTAACACAATTAAACTCATAAAATTAATTCTTTTAAAAAGAATGACAATAAGAAAATGACACAGTATTGCATGTCCTAATACAATGTGCAATAATATTGCACAGTCTATGATATTTCATCTGTTCAGAATGTTCTCGGTGAAAAAAATTCACCGAGAGCAAGGCAGAGGCCATAATCATAACTAAGCAATTTTTAAAATATTTTGTGGTAATTTAACAACATTATTTAAAATTCATTAAAGACATCTATTACAAAATTCATCACCAAAGAGCATAATTTGCTTAGGTTCAACTTACTGTGGATTGTCACACTGGCGTGTCCTGAATTTCACTCCTGTTCCACAAGTTCGGGAACAGGAACCAAATTTACTCCATGCTCCCCAGTTTCCATCTTGCTTCAAGATATCTGGAGTTAACCAGATACAGTGACCTTTAAAACAATGCTAAAAGAGAAAAATATACAGGTATGCATATTTTTGTAATTCATAAACACTGTCTTTTTAGTGACTGGGCTTAGGTTGAAAGGAATTGCTGTTTAAATAGAGTTTACTAATGTGAAAGAAACCACTGGTTTCTCATATATGCTTATAAATGATAAAACTATTCAAAACTAGATGTCTGAACTGCCACCATTGAAAAAAAATATACTGTTAGAGTTTATGATATTTTACCTTTGACTTGGTCCACTGCATGTCAGTTCACACCTACCCATCTGTAACCCTAGATATAACTTCCTTCAATTATGTACAGGTAGTTTAAGAATGAGTTCTGTTCCCAAGGTCTGTCCTTAAGTCGAATTTGTATGTACGCCGGAACAGCATTATTGTATAATACTGTATAAGTAGTATTGTGCAATTAACTCGAACCATTGTGTATTTAACTCAAATCATTGTGTATTTAACTTGAATTTTGCTACAATAGGCTCTGTTCTTAACTATGGGTCATCCTTAAACCGAGCATTCTTAACCTGGGGACTACCTGTAGTTGATCATCTGGAACAAAACAAACAAAAAAAGTCAAATCTGTCCACATTGTACCATGTCAGTTCCCTGTATGGACCTAGAGACACTGCAGGGGAAAGAGATGTGCCAATGCCAAGGGGCAGTGATAAAATGGAGAGAGAAGAAATTGGTCTTCTTATTCAAAATTCACACTTTTCCAAATTTCAAAGCAGGATGCCAATTCAAAAGCACATACTAGGGAAATATGTGAAAAGTGTAATATCCTTGCAAAATAATGTTAAAATGCATTATCTTACTGTTGTACAACCAATTATTTGGAGTATAACAAGCACAGTCACAAACCTAACTATTTCTGTTTGGAGAAACATGAGCCAAAATAATTCCCAAGTTTAATGTCAACAAATTTGGAAACTAAATTTTGATGACCCTAACCTGACAGATTTAGAAAAATAAGAATCTGAGAAAAGCCAAAATTAATGTACTCACTATAATCATCATATAAGACAGGTATTTATTGCTTGTCTACATGCAATAGGCCAGTTTGGGGGGAAAGGTATAGTTTGATGTGGTCCATTGTATTCACAGTGATATCAAACAGAGTCAAGTTAAACCCATATTACATCACTATGATGCAATGTTGCTCCCTACCTACACAGATGGATTTTATTTAATTCAAGTCAGAGTGGTAATGTTTCAAGAGCTGAAATCTACATTTCTTTCTCAGTTGTACTGAGTGATTTCTAAATCAAATTCTGAAAAATGTAATTGCAGGGCTGAGAAAAAGCTTTTACAACAGCATGTGAGAAAAGGGCTTTAGCCTATATGGGTCTTGTAGTAAGCAGGAGGGAAGAAGGAACATGTCTTTGTATGGTAGCATTTGTGACCTCAGAGAACATTAGCAGCAATAATTATTTTGATATTTCTATGAAGTATGTGAACATATTGATACAGTAGTTTTTTTTTAAAAAAAACAGTGGCTACCTGATCTAAACATAGACTTCAAAACACAAAAAATAGTATACAGATTTTTTTTTTAATGGGGGGTATCTCTCTCTAGAAATAGTTATGGATTGTATCCAGATGAAATAGAGCAGTGTTATGTAATATTGATACCCCAAACTTTATCTTCACTTTGACCTGATGCTTGCACAGCTTCAGTGTTCTGGTAAGAGTAAAAACACAGTATGTAGCAAGCAGCTCCCCCCCCTGCCCCCCCGCTGCATATTATGTACTAGAAGGAGCTGGCAGACATATCTGGTTGGCTTGCAAAGACATCCCAGTCTGGTAGAGAATCAAAGTACCCTTTATCCCTTCCATGACCCCTTCTCCTTAGCAATTGCTAAGGAATGAAATGATATTGAAGTGACCCAGGGCTCCATTCCCAAGCAGATGTATGATTCTCTTTCTGCTTTATCCCTTTCCTTGATTCAGAAATCCTTTTTCCTCCTTCCCATAAGAACACCTTGTCTTTTTATTCTCTGCTGCCAAGCTAAGCTTTGGCAGTGCCAAGTGCTCCCCTTATCATGTGCTCCATTTACATTTGTGTGTGTTTGAGTGCTACATCTTTAAATCCCTTGTTTTTTTTGCTAGGGCAAGAAGCTTTAACAGTCCTTGTCTCTGTTTTTGGGTTTCTGGTTTCTTTGTCCATAGCTCCATTAAAGCAAATGGCTGGAAATAGGTTCTAGAATAGGTTTCCAAAGAAAATGCTCCCCCTTCTCCTAAGTAGCCATGTGATTAAGAGAATGAGACATGAAAGGGAATAATGCAACAATCAAGATTCCTTCTGGATTGTGGAACAGAATCCAGAAGCCTAGGAAACAGAATGTATTTATTTATCAACCAATCAACCATTTGTGGGACCACCTCTCCTGGAAGGAATCTGCCCATTCCATCAGGTCTGATAGGGTTGGCATGCTCCAGCTCCTTTCCCTTAAATGCTGTCATTTTTGGGGACCTAGAAAGGGCACCTTCTCTGTGGCAGCTTCTGTCCAGGGTTCAAACCCCTGTTCAGGGTTTGAAGGCAGCCTCCCCCTCCCCCACCTTCCTAGCCTTTTGGAAGGCCTTGAAGAACGGGCTCCTCTCGCAAGCATTGGGGCTGAGTGAGGCTGGAACCCACTGCAGCTGAATGTGAGTGTGTGTGTGTGTTGCCTTTGGGGCACCAGGAGCTTTTGTTGTGTTTCTTATAGTTTTTATATTTTTATTATTGTTTTGTGAGCTGCCGAGGGTTATGGTATATAAGATGGGCAGCTATATAAGTCTTTTAAATAAATAAAGCTATACTTGGTATGTTGGTCTCCAGATGTCTGCAAACTCCCTCCTTCCTGGCCATAGTTTATGTGCTAGGGTTGATCAGAACTGTCGCCTAATCCCCTTGAGGCTATAATTTTGGGGAAGGCTTAGCGTGTTACAGTCCCACCTGAATGAACCATCTCTAATCAAATATGCAGCTAGAAATACTTTTTTTAATATGTCACTGCTTCATACCAGGCTGTAATTGTAGGTCCTGTGCATGAGTGGTTTGTCCGTATAAGGATCTGGGCATAAACACATATGCACAGATGGCTATAACAAATACAATAATTCACTAACTTTTCCTAATAATCATTTCCATAACAAATGTTATGCCACTTGATCAGCCTTCAAATCTAGGCATTTGGCAGGAGCTGTATGTGAAACATATGGCTAAACAAACACCCACCACCAGCAAAAACAGAGAAGGATGCATAATACAAAATCTCTTTTAAATACAGAATGAAGAATACTTTAGCAAGGGGGGGGGGAGTAAAAAAAAAAGTGTCAGATACCTCGTAAAAACAGGAGAAAATACCATAATTTCTAGACCTGTTACACAGAAAACATTACCCATGATTTGGATGATCAACAGCTGACTAAAATCAAGAATCTCTTCATTATGCTAATATAATAACCTAGGTCAAAATATGTTTACTTTATCACAGTGACTTCAAAGTATGAGAATTGACAGTGGGCAAGGGGAAGGTGAACATCCCAGCACAGGTTAAATCTGCTATGGCTTATGAGTTTTGTGAGTTCATTTTTTCCCCCTGATAATTATTAATTTACATTTTGAGCCTGAATTTATTGAGGAGAACTTGTATGCATGTAAATATTTGTCACAGTCCAATCACAGCAGCTTCAGAACAGCAGTCCAACATGTGCCTGATTCCCTCACTGAAACCAGTACTGTATTGGATATGGTTGAATAAATGTTGAGTACACTGGTCACAGCCTTTTATGAAACTATATTTTATTGGAACATTTAATAACATTTCCAAATGAGCTTACCTACTAATTATTATCCTTCTAACTTAATGTAAAAATGTATTTATTTGATTTGTACCTGTTACAGTCAAAAGAGACTTTCCTCAGTTTACATACATCAATAAAATAACAATAAAATATTCACAATATAAATGCAAAAACAGCCAACAAATAAACATAATAACACATTAACAATTATAAGCAATCAAATAGTCAATATCAGTGCCTCCAAACTCATCCTGCCAAAGCTTCTCCAAAATTGTAATTTTAAATTTTAATTTACAATTTTAAAATTGTAAATTTTAATACTTTATGGAAAACCTATAGTGTGGAGGTTGGTCACATTTCTAGAGAGAGGCTATTCAAAGCATAGATGCACCAACAGAAAAGAAGCATTGATGAGCTTCTCCCCCCACATCATGGAATTGGGGGTCTATAAGTAATTCTCCCAAGACATCCAAATTGGGTGGATTGAAACTGATTGGAGAAGGAGGTCCCCTAAGCCCTCTGGCGCCAAGCCATGTTGGGTCT